CCGGGTAGGATGGGAGGATGGCAAGGCCAGGTGTGGAAGCGGCGAGGACGGGGTGAGAATGGAGGGATGGGTATCTGAGTGGGACGGTGACCTCTGCGTCCCCCCTCCCCTAGGTTTGCACGGATATTAATGAGTGCGAGACCGGACAGCATAACTGCGTTCCCAACTCGGTGTGCATCAACACCCGGGTAAGGCCGGCTCAGGGAGGGAAGGATTGCGCCCAGGGAGCAGGGCAGGGGTGAGGGCCCGCGCTGACTGTCCCGGGCATGGGCGCAGGGCTCCTTCCAGTGTGGCCCTTGCCAGCCTGGCTTCGTGGGCGATCAGGCATCTGGCTGCCAGCGGCGCGCACAACGTTTCTGCCCTGACGGATCGCCCAGCCCTTGCCACGAAAAGGCTGACTGTGTCCTGGAGCGCGACGGCTCCCGGTCCTGCGTGGTGAGTTGCAGGAACTCAGGGGGCGGCAGAGGGGTCGAGGGTACGGTTACATCAGGTCACCCACGGACTCCCCTCTACAGTGTGCAGTCGGCTGGGCTGGCAACGGACTCCTCTGTGGCCGGGACACTGACCTGGACGGCTTCCCGGACGAAAAACTGCGCTGCTCCGAGAGCCAATGCCGCAAGGTGGGCGGGGTCGTGGAGGGGCGTGGCCGAGCGGGAGTGGGGTCTGGACAGGGCTACGCGGTCAAGCCACTCACGCCTGCCGTGCCCACCCTCAGGACAACTGCGTGACGGTGCCCAACTCAGGGCAGGAGGACGTGGATCGCGATGGCATAGGAGACGCCTGCGACCCTGATGCTGACGGTGACGGGATCCGCAACGAAGAGGTGAGGCCATGAGGGGACCAAGGCTGGACTGGGCTTTCGGCCTGGGGTGAAAAGGGTTCCCTGAAGAGGAGGCGGGACCTCGGAGATGAGCAAGAATGGGAAATGATTTTGCCTTTCCCAGCCTGACTCTCCTTAACTGGCCCTTTCCCCCAGGACAACTGCCCCCTGGTGCGGAACGCAGACCAACGCAACTCTGACAACGATAAGTGGGGTGATGCGTGCGACAACTGCCGGTCCCAGAAGAATGACGACCAGAAGGACACAGACCAGGATGGTCGGGGCGACGCCTGCGACGACGACATCGATGGAGACAGTGAGCAAGCAGGCTGGGGAGATGAGCGGCCAGCTCCGGGGCGGGGCTTGATGGATCTTGGAAACATTGGTGTGAACTCGCCTAGGTCGCCCTAGACCAAGGCCCGTGCTCCCGCGGGCAGAAAAATGCAAGCCGGGCCTTAAGATAGGAGGCAGGACTGGGGCAACGTTCCTAGGAGTGGGTGGTGGACTTTGTGTTAGATGCTGCAGACGCCAAAGATGACATTTTTACAAACAGGGACATAGAGGTTTGGGGTGGCATTCACAAGGTACCCAGTTTAGCTGGGAGGGAGAACCATCCATTCTTTTAAGTCTCCACGGAGCTGGGGCTGTGTTCCAGGCTAGCATCAGCCTTGGTCTTTGTCCTAATGAAGTTATCTGACCCCACCCCAATCTTGGGACTTGTGCCTGGATTCCTGCAGGGATCCGAAACTCAGCAGACAACTGTCCCAGGGTGCCCAACTCAGACCAGAAGGACAGTGACGGTGATGGTGTAGGGGACGCCTGTGATAACTGCCCTCAGAAGGACAACCCAGACCAGGTGAGAGCAGGCCAGATCCCAGCTGGGTCAGTGCACTGGGGGTGAGCCCAGGCTGGGTTACCAAGACCACAGCTTAGAGAATCCCCCCTGCCAGACAAGGGCCTCCCACGGTCCAAGTGGCCTGGCCTTGGGGGTTTCCTTGGGGTCAGGAGGAGCTTGGCTGCAGAGGGAGTGCTGAGGGAGGCTTCTGAGATCCTCTCTCCTGATTGTGGACCCTGATCCTTACCTCCTCCCCAGAGGGATGTGGACCATGATTTTGTAGGAGATGCTTGTGACAGCGACCAAGACCAGTAAGGAGGCCACCTAGGGTGGGTGTGTGGGACACCCGACAAATCCTCTGAACTTCTCACTGTCCCTTTGTTGAACTTACCCTCTTTAGGGATGGGGATGGACACCAAGACTCCCGGGACAACTGCCCCACAGTGCCCAACAGTGCCCAGCAAGATTCAGACCACGACGGTCAGGGTGACGCCTGTGATGACGATGATGACAACGATGGAGTCCCTGATAGTAGGGACAACTGTCGCCTGGTACCCAACCCACGCCAGGAGGATGCAGACAGTACGACAGGGGTGACAGGGGCGGGCCGGTATTGGTGGGGGCGAGGTGGCCTGGAATGGGTGTGGCCCTCACCTGTGGCAGAGCCTGAAGCTGAACCCCCGTGGAGGGGTTGTCTCAGTTCCCATCTGCTCTCAGGGGACGGCGTGGGTGACGCGTGCCAGGGTGATTTCGACGCGGACAAGGTGGTAGACAAGATTGATGTGTGTCCGGAGAACGCCGAGGTCACCCTCACGGACTTCCGGGCCTTCCAGACTGTTGTGCTGGACCCCGAGGGGGATGCGCAAATTGACCCCAACTGGGTGGTGCTCAATCAGGTGAGGGCAAGGCCTGGTGGTGGTTTTGGGGAGACCAGGAACCCCTCAGCAGGGCCTAAGTGGGGGACGGGAAGCCTAGAGGCCCTGGTGGCCGACCTGAGGTCCTTCTTCCTTGAACCTAATCAGGGGATGGAGATCGTGCAGACCATGAACAGCGACCCAGGCCTGGCTGTGGGTAAGAGGCGGGGGAGCTGGGCGGAGCCTGCTCGGAGGCGGGGCCGCAGGGGGCGGGGCCGTGGCCAAGTCAGGCCTGAAGCCAGGAAGGGCGGGGCCGTGAGCGTTCTGGGCTCCGGAGGGGCGTGGTCAGTGGTAGTTTGGGGCGTGGTCTGGGCTCCTGAAGGGGCAGATTCCAGGGGGTGGGCTGGGCTCGGGTGAGCACCCAAGACCCGGGCTATGAAAGCCCGAAACCCTCTTCCCTTTGTCAGGGTACACGGCCTTCAATGGCGTGGACTTCGAGGGCACCTTCCACGTGAACACAGCCACGGATGACGACTACGCGGGTTTCATCTTCGGTTACCAGGACAGCTCGAGTTTCTACGTGGTCATGTGGAAACAGATGGAACAAACTTACTGGCAGGCGAACCCCTTCCGCGCTGTGGCCGAGCCTGGCATCCAGCTCAAGGTCCTGCACACCCCCGCAGACCCCCCCCGCAGACCCCCCCCGCCCCCGCAAAAGCCTTTCACACCCACAGCCCCCGAGCATCACTCTGCAGACCTCCAAGCTCTCACTCCACCTAGGTAGCCAAAGGCCCCAATCTTGCTTCCTCCCACAAGCCCTCAAACACCGCCTCAGGGTCCCCCCAACCTGCCTTTGCCCCCTAAAGCCTATCACAGGGCCCTGTTTTTCTGAGTCCCCCAAATTTTCTGCAGACTCCCTTAGACCCAAATATATTGCTGAAACCCTCTAGCAAATCCCCCCAATTCTGTAGATTTCGGTTTTTCCTACAGGCACCCAAGTCCTACAGGTCATCTATCCTCCCCCAATCCTCCCAGACCACCAATCTGTTCAGGACTCCCAGATCCTCTCAGGAGACCCCATGACTGCCCCCCATGATCCACCCCTGAGCCCCCATTTGGCTCCCAAGAAAGCTTCCTTGTGGGTCTGTCATCCCAACAAGGGCCTCCTACCATGACCCACAGCTCCGTCCTTCCAGGCTAGAATCCAGGTTTCCCCAAACCCCTGAAGTCTCTGAACCCCTTTCTTTGGACAATGGCAGGCTGTGAAGTCCTCCACGGGCCCCGGGGAGCAGTTACGGAACGCGTTGTGGCACACAGGGGACACAGAGTCCCAGGTGCGGCTGCTGTGGAAGGACCCTCGCAACGTGGGCTGGAAGGACAAGACGTCCTACCGCTGGTTCCTGCAGCACCGGCCTCAAGTGGGCTACATCAGGTGGGGCCCCCACTTCCACCAGTGAGCTGGGCCAGGCAGGGACACTCAGGCCAAGCTGGGAGTTCCTCACCTGCAGGGGGAAAGGGGCTCCTGGGGCCTTGACCCCTTGTATGTAAAATGGGAATATGAGGCAAGCAGAAGCAGCGCGCAGTGGGTCTCCAGTTAGAAGAACCCTTTGACCCTCATTCCACGATACTAGGATGCCCAGGTGTGTCACTCAGTCCTGGCTGTGGGCAGGGCCCCTTCGTGTCCATTCCAACACAGGCAGAGGTGCTGGCTGAGGCCTGACTCACTCTCCCACCTGCAGGGTGAGGTTCTACGAGGGGCCCGAGCTGGTGGCTGACAGCAACGTGGTCTTGGATACAACCATGAGGGGCGGGCGCCTGGGGGTCTTCTGCTTCTCCCAGGAGAACATCATCTGGGCCAACCTGCGCTACCGCTGCAATGGTGAGCTGGGGTCCGGGAGGGAGGGCAGGGAATCTGCCCAAAGGCCTCGCAAGGCCTCTCACCTGCTGGCCCTCTCTTGCAGACACCATCCCTGAAGACTATGAGACCCAGCGGCTGCAGCGGGCCTAGGGAACCGGGAACCCACTGTTGGACATTGGCTGCCCTTACCAGGGGGGATGGGGGCCGAGGGAGGCCCCAGCCCAGAGGGGAAGGGAGAGGGTCAGAGAGGCGAATAAAGCTTGTGTGCGGAGGGAGTGCCAAGTGTGGTCTTTGCTGCAAGGGGACAGTGTAACTGGGCCTCTGAGGGGCCCACCTATCTGCTGACTATCCAGTCCTGATTTGGGGAGGTTCCTAGGTCTGCCACGTGTCCCAGTCACTCAGCCATGATGAAGCTGGGACCCCTCCACTGGAGTGTCTGCTGGAAGATTCTAGGGGGCTGCTCTGTCCCCTGCAAGTTTGAGGATCCCTCCTCAGGTGCCGCCGACAGGGGTGTGTGGGGCACCCATGCCTGTGTGTCTGTGTATCTGTGGCCATCCATGGAGAGAGAGGGTCAGGGGCCTTTGCCACCCCCGAGGGAGGGAGACAGGGTAGGAAAACACGGGAAGAGACAGAGACGAAAACATTGGATTTTTATTCCATTTCATTACAAAGGATGCAAAGGTACAAAGACAAAAGCGTCCGCGCCGGAGGGCGGGCAGGGGCAGCCAAGAGTGCCCTAAGCGCCCGCCCTGCCTGCCTGCCACAGCGCCCGCGCAGGCCCACAGGACATCCGCAGTGGAGTGTACATGCTGGGGGACAGAGCCAGCCTGGGCACAGAGGGGCACGGGCAGGGCGGGGCTTGGACCAGCAGGTTTGCATATATCAATGGGGCTGCCCAGCCCCTGGGGGGCAGTTCCTAGTGGGGGCAAGGCAGGGCCTGTGGATCTGGGCTGCCAAAGCCCAGTCTCCGGGGTGTGGTGCGAGGCCATGGCTATGTCCCCATGTCCCCAGTGGGCAGGAGGTCAGAAGTGCTTGACCAGCTGGGCTGAGCAAGGCCGAACATGGATTGATCCCAGACCCAGAACCCTGTGAGACCACCCCCACCCCTAACATGAGCCACGCGGAGAAAGGTGGATGGAGCCATCTGGAACCAGCACCATCCCAAGGCCAGCCTCTGCCCCCGACCCTGGCCAGGGAGCCGGGGGCCCTGAGACCTTCAGGTTTAAAAAGTGACAGGAGGGAAACTGAGGCTCAGGCCCCATGGGGCTCACTCCTGACCCCATGCCCTTGGGAGTAGCCTCGCACCCAGGCCTGGGATGCAGGTCACCCACCTCCTGTCCCTGGGTGACAAAGGTAGAAGGGACACTCATACCACACGGAGGGCTCTGAGTGGTACCCGAGCCCTGGCTGGCCAGAACTCCTTGGAAAGAACCCAAGGACACGGTTGGCTCAGGCCAAGTTGACTGGGCACACCTGAGGGGGATGTCCCAGGGACACCAAGTCAAATGCCAGAAGACCCCTGTAGGAAATGGGGACTCAGGGGCCAAGGAGAATGCGGCTTAAAGGGACCCTGCTGCCTCCGCACCCCAAGCATCCTCGGGGGGTTGTAAAGGATTGAGTCTTCCCCAAGCTCTCCAGGCCATGTGGGGAGGGCTCCAGGAGCCATGGTCCCCTCACCTGGAGTGTCACCTGCAGGGCGACAATGCACCAGGCTCAAGGGTACTTTCTATCGTTGGCATTGGGGCCCCTGGTGCTGAGGGCCCCTCATCCCACCCCCCCACTGAGGACCCTGTGACCTCTGGCCACCAGCTGCACCAGGAACCACTGGAGGGCGAGGAGGCCCAGGACCACCTGGCCTCACCACGCCCAGCTCACCAGGCGCTCGAGGCCTTCTTTGGAAATACAGAAAACCGGGAGCCAGATCAGGTGGGGATTTGGAAGAGTGTTTGGTTGGACCAGCTGAGGACCCACCAAGACAGGAGGGCTGGGGGTCCCTGAGCCCCCTCTAGGGACAGGCATTGACACTGGGTGGCTGCCCAGCTGTCTGGCCCTGCCTATCCCTCCCTGGGCTGTGCCCCCGAGCGGCTATAGGCAGCTGCTGGCCAGCAGCCCTGGCTGTGATGTCCCATGTCCATCAAAGGCCACTGGCCTCCATTCCATGCCCCACCTTGAAACACGGGCCTCTGTAGGGGACCCTGCTGTGTCCTCCAGAGAGCTGGGCCACCTGGAGAAATCACACCATGTCAGAATCTTCCTCCATAGCACTGAAGAGCCACAAGAAGGTGGCACCAGAGAGGAGTGTCCCAGGTGGGGCCCTGTGGAGCAAAACGCCCGGAGCACAAAGGGGCTGACCTGGAGGCTCTGGCTCTGAGCCTTGTGGGGGAGCAAATGCACCCCCCCCCGGACCCAGAGGGCGGGGGTAGAAGAGGCGGTGGGGACGTGGTGTTCTCAGAAGCCCCCTGTCTTGCTTCTGCCCTGGGGGAGGGTCTGCAAAGCGGAGGGGCCTGGCCAAAGCCGGGAGTACCTGGGTAGGGCTGGGGGAACGGCTGGCCTGGCCCTGCCTCTGACCTGGCAAGGGCCGAGTATCCAAGCCTGTCCCAAACGAGGACACGAGCGGCGGGGCTATATACATGCTGCAGGGGCCCCTGGCCTGGCCCTCCTGGTGCAGCGCGTCTAAATCACAGTATTTTCACGTCACAAAGCACAGGGCTGGTTCCCTTAAACTGTCTTGTTTTAGAAAGTCTTGGCAATTCAGGAATATTTAGTAGAGAAGTGACATCTAAAAAAAGACCCCCACAAAATCCCGTTACAGAGCCCAGGTGGCCTGCCCAGGTGCAGAGGGGGTGAGCGTTTCCAGAACACGGACGCCTGGCTGCTGGCTCCCAGCTGGCCCCGAGAACGAACAAGGCCCAGCATCTTCCCAGGAAGCCCTGACCTTGATCACCTCATTCCCACTGGAAAAAGAATTTGGCGATGAGCCAAGGCCACTGCGTTAATACAATGTCACCTGTGGTCCTGGCTGACGGGCCACAAACCTGGGATGCTCAGAGGGCACTGTCCCTCCTCTCTCGCCTTCTGCACCAAGAGCCTGAAAGAGCACTGGCGGTGGCATTGGCCAGTGGCTCAATGGACAGTTAGTGGCGGCCCATGAGGCTCCTTTGTGAGGTCCCCAACGCCTTATTTGAAAACTGTGCCCAGGCAGGTTGTGTGGGATTTTATTAAGGCCATTTTTTAAAGTTCTACATACAAGTCTAATGTAACCAAAGCCTCCCGTGTACAGAGTTTTTCTTAAAAAAAAAAAATGTCCCCACTTTTTTTTGCTTCCGGCTCCCATCCCAGCAGCAGAATGGGCTGTGACCTGGGCACTGTCTAATGCTGTGCTCAAGCCCAGAGTGATGGACAGCAGCAGGTGCACAGTGACCCAGGAGGACAGTTGCCACCTGGCTGCTTGGCCATGTGCTAACAGTGTCACTGGGAAGGAGAGGGAGGAACGGTGCTAGTATCAAATGCAGCTCCGGAGGACAGAATGAGGGCTCCTGTGACCTGGCGGAGGTGGCAGCTGTGACACCACAAAGAAACGCACCCAGCAGAAGGTGCCAGCCTGGTGGGCAGAGGCGCAGGCGAGGGCGTCAAGGTGCAACCCAGAGGAAAAACCCAACAGTGTCACATCCCAGAGCGGGAGACAGAAAACAGCTGTGCCACTGCCTGTCACAGGGCCTGTGGTGGCAGTGTCTGAGGCCACTCCGGGTGCCCCACTGCAACCTTGGCCTCCAGAGGCACTTCTCAAAGCACCTGGAAACCTGCCACTAAGACACACGCTGCCCTTTGCCTCCAAGTCCCTCGGTCCTGGCTGAGGCACCAAAAACTGGTGGCTGGGACACAAGGCCCATCAGAGGCCTGGACCGGGAGCCAGAGAGGGCAGGGTGCAGAAGACGAAAGGCCAGCTCTGCCCTGGCTCTCAAGGGTCCACTCTTTCCCACTGGTCCTGATGCCCTTGGCGCAGAGGCCCCAGTCATGGGGTCTTCAAGGTGAGGCTTGGGGACACACTGGGGAGCAGCAGGCGGAGTCAGGTCTTGCAGAGACCCTCCCATAAAATGGGCTACGTCCCCAAAGTCTGCTTCATGCACCAACAGCGGCCTCTTTAGCCATCACGAGCTTCTGACAGGCGGGGCCTTAGGTGGCCTCTTGGTGGCCGAAAAACTAAGAAAGTCCGAGGCTCGGGCTTGGGCCTGCGGGCGGCCACCGCTCCTGGGTTTATCAGCCCACGTTTCCAGTTAGCTTAAAAATGGGGAACACAGGATTCTGGGATTATAAAATCATGCTCTCAGGCAAGTGTTGGCTGGAAAGATTCAGCTACTCATCTACAACCAAATGTAAATACAAACCAAAGAAGAAAAAAAAATCACGACAGAGATTCCCTGGCCACCTACCCACCCGACCCCCCACGCCTTAGTAACAGTACGGACCTCTAACGTGACCACAGGACAGGGAGGGGGAGATAAAGACCCAGGTCATCCCTGCCCGGGGCAGCTGCGGTCTGCTTCAGTCTGTCTGGGCATCTCGGGACAGAAGGCCCTGGCTGGGCTGAAGGGGTGGGAGGGCGAGGGGGCGCCGGCCGCTCCGCATGCTGGGTCACATCTAACGTTCGCCCGGGACAGCGCCTAGTGCTTTTGAGTGTGCTCAGAAAATAGAAGACGGCCATCAAAATAGTGTTTATTTCACTCTGCCTGTCCCTCCTCTGGCACCTTCTGCCTTGGCAGGTGGGGCCGCTGTCTACCTGATCGAGGGCTGGGGATGGCGGTGGCGGGGACGGGATGAAGGAAGGCAGTGAGAGCTCATCAACAGTCGGAAAGTGCACCTCGGCCCAGACACCCACCCCAAGCCTCCTGACACCCCACTCTCAGCATCCTGTGGGGGGCTCGTGCCCGGCCCCGGGGTAGGAGAGGAGCGAGCGCAGGGAGGGTCTGCGGGAGTGAGGACTCACAGCCTCTGACCCCAGCCTGGCCCTAGGCGGACGGACGGACGGAGGGCCCAGCTCGGGGCCTCGCCGGGCTTCAGCGGGAGGTGAACAACCGGGGGGGCGGGCTGGTGGGGGCGCCGGGCGGCATTGCAAGCTCAGAATCACAAGCTCGGCCGTTTGCGAGGGACGGAGTGTGGCCGCCCCCAGGCTTGGAGGGACGCCGTCGGAGACCACGGACCGGCGGCACTGTGCCAGGCATGGCCGCTCACAGACGGTCCATCCGGAAGGTGTCCTCAGTGGCCGGGTCAGCGAGGACCATGTCAGGGTCGTTGAGCATGTGCAGTCCGTCGAGGGTCAGGGGGTCGATCTTGAGTTCATCCAGGGGGAACTGGTTGTCAGCGTCGAAGCTGACATCGCTGACCCCGGCCAGAGTGCTGGTCAGTTCTTTAGAGAGGCTAGGAGGGGACTCTCCTGTCACTAGGAGAGACAAACAGTACAGCTCAGCCTGGCCTCCCTGGCTCCCAGCCTCCAGCAATGTCAGACCTGCCCTCCAGGGAACACTGCCAAGGTCTGGAGACATTCTGGTTGTCACAACTGAGGGAAGTGACACTGCTGGCATCTGGTGGGTGGAGGCACAGGAAAGTACTCACCTTAGAGAATGACCCGACACTAGATGTCAGCAGTGCCCCAGGGCTGAAGCCCCAAGGGCCATGAGAGGCAGGCTGGGTGCAGGCACGAAGGGCACTTGTCCCCAACGGGGCCCAGCTGCTGCCCAGGAAGGAACCTGGCTCTTCCCTCTACCGCCCTGGGGGAGGCGCTGCGTCTGTCTGCAGAGCTGGGACGTGGGCTTCAGAGTCCCCGTCTCCCTGGGCAGCCGCGCCATCAGAGAGCAGCCCTGTCTTGGGAGTCCCTGGTCTCTGTCCCTGGGCATCCACCTCTGCCCACTGCCTGACCCAGGGGTGGGAGGTCAGGATTCCCACAAAGGGCACCAGGGGCTCTGAATGTGACCTCTGTATCCTAGAGGTGCCAGTGGGGACTCCCCAGCAGCCCTGGTGAAGACGGGGGTGGGGGTGGCCACTGAATGCCTGGGTTTTGTGCTGGGTGATTTCATCCGTGCCATGCAGGATGGGGCTGTGTCCCCTAGGTACCTGGGCAGCGGGTTCCTGACTGGCTTTGCACTGAGTGCTGGATGCCTGTCCCAGGGCCTAGGTGTCTCCCTGGGCTGTCCTGCCCAGGAGCGGGTGGAGTTCAAGGTGTGGGAGGGATCTGGCCTCCTTGGGGCCCTGTCCCGCTGAACCCTTGGGCTGAGGGCAGGGAGGCAGCCCAGCTCAGTCTCCTGCTGGAGCCGAGCCCTCTCCCGGCAGCCATGCTGCCCCTGGGCACAGGGAAGCCTCCACCTAGGCTCCTGGGCACCGGGCCTGCGATGGGGCTGCCAGCCTCACCTGTGAGGATGATGTTGGGGATGCCGCTGTGGCTGGAGTAGCCCAGCTGCTGCGTGTCCTGCAGGCTCCCGTGGCTGCTCGTGAGGCCCATCATGGCCGCCTGCGAGTAGTTGAGTGTGGAGCCGGAGCCGTAGAGGCTGCTGGAGCTGATGGCGTTCTCCATCATGTTGAACTGCTCCAGCTGGCAAGGCAAGTGTGCCAGGCTGTGAGGACCACCCAGGGCTCCCGGCTGCCACCTGCAGCCCCGGGATGCCCCTGCAGGGGGCCTGGCATCCAAAGCGGCTGAGCGTGAGCCCCCAGGCCCCAGGGCCTCCCCAGCACTCAAGACTGGATGGATGGATGGATGGATGGATGGATGGACGGATGAGCAAGTGAGTGCTCCAGGCCACGGCCATACCTCCTCTGCCCCGGCGTCCCTGCCCCGGCCTCCACGCAAAGCCAGCACAGCCTCCCAGCAACCCACGTGCACGGCCCACGCCAAGGCACTGCTCTGACAGTCGCTGCCCTGTCCCCGCCTGGTCGAGGCCTGCCCTTCCTCCCCCTCTACCTTCGGACTCCATTCTGCCAGCCAGACAGAGGCCAGGCCAAGCCACCTCTGCTGGGGCCTTGGCCTCCACAGCTCAAAGACAGGACAGGGACTGAGGAGCGAAGCCAAGGGGTGGGCAGGGGCCCCTGAGTGCGTGCGGCCCTGCCCTCAAGGTCTGGGTCCTGGCGAGCATGTGCTGTGGGCACCGGCCGGCGGCCTGGGCGCCCCCTCACCTGGCGGGACAGAGCATTGGCCTGCCTGGCTGCCATCTGCTGCTCATAGTATGAGTCCCCAAACACGCTGCCCAAGGCGGACGAGTGCTGCAGACAGAAGAGAGGCCTGCTGTGGTCATGGCCCCCAAGACTGGGCAGGGGTGGACCAGGGCCCATCAGGACTGGCACTCCCAGGCCCTGGCTGGACAGGGAGAAAGGTCCCCGGAGTTCCCTGGGACGCAGAAGGCTGATGGCTTTTATCTTGGGGTCCGTGGGTGCGCCCCAGTCCTGGATGACTGCTTCCTTCCACCTGGGGTGTCTGCACCCTGATACCCTCCAAGACACCACCCCCAACTCCCCTTGAGCTGGGTGTGGCGACCCCACTTCCGTCATGGAGAAGGTGGGGCTGCCAGATGAGAGGCCTGGAAGCCTCAGAGGTGACCTGGGAGAGGGGCCAAGACAGAAGGTGCCTGGACGTTACATTCACGACAGAACGTGCACTGGGGAACCATGGGCCCCCGGGAAGACAGGAGACAGGGCACATGTACTTGGACAGGACGATGCACAGAGCTGGCCACTGGCCAAGCGAGCACAGACAGGAGCAGAGAGAGGCCTGAGGCCCGCACAGGGAGGCCACCTGCTGCATCCCGTCTCAGCCAGAAGTGCTCAGAGGAAGGGGCAGGGGCTGTCCCTGGGAGAGGAGGAGGGGACTAGGGGACTCATGGGTGGTGGGAATGCTGTAAAGGTGCGCTTGGAGCCCACAACTAAGAGACAGGGGACAGAGCCTAGCTGGGCTGTGCAAGTGGCCAAGTCACATCCCAAGCCCCTGATGACTAAGGCCTAGAAAAGAGCTCTGGAGTGACCTTGCAGCCACCAGAGGCCCAGCAGCACCGCAAGGCTGGGAACTCCAGCCTGCTTCTCCCCGTGCAGGACAGGGTGCCCAGCACACCACGTCTCAGAGACCATCTCCACAGACCAAACGCCCTGACCCCTGGCCCTTGGGCTCCCCGTCGGAGTGGTCTTGGGAAGACCCCAGGTGCCAGGACAACTCAACGCTTCAATCTGGGTTGACAGCAAACCCTTAGCCCCTTGGGGTCAGTGGACCAAGAGCAGAAGGGGCAGATGCCCACTCTGACTGGAGTCACAGTGACGGATGAGCCACCGAAGGCCAGCGAGGAGTTAAAGAGGGGGACTGAGGAAGAGAGCAAAGTGGCAAATCCCCGAAGCCCAGAGTCCACAGCTTCGAGCTGGGGCGAGCCGGAGGTAGAGGCCCCTGGCGCACCCACGGCCGGGCGCCTTCCGCAGCGCGGCCCAGACACAACCACCCGCTTCAGGCTTTGCCAAGGGGCTGCAGGGCCGTGGCTGGTGCCGCCCAGTGAGAAGGAAGCGGAGAGTGCAGGCTTCACCAGCTGGCGAGGCTGGGGCAGGTGCTGGGAGAGACTGGGCTTCTGAGATGATGCCCGATCCTGTCCCTGTGGCCCTGGCCCTGACACACAGGGGCGCTGATGGCCAAGGTGTCTCTTGTGAGGCTGCCCTGAGGGTGGCCAGGACGTCAGCTTGGGAGAGGCCTGGGGCCGGGCCTGACTGGGACAGACGCAATGGCCAACTGAGGACAGAGGTGGCAGGTGTGGGCCGGGCAGGGTGGGGCAGGCTGGGGTGGCCCAGGCCCAGGGGTCTGATGAGCGCATCTGTGGAGACCCAGCTGCAGCCAGAAAACCAGGTGTGGGCTCTTCCCAGCACCTTCTGCTTCTGAGGGAGTCCCCACTGCCCACACCAGTCCACAGCAGACGGGCAGGCGGCTGAGCCGGCGGCTGAGCCAGCGGCACGCTCTCACCCAGCCAGACCACAGCGCTTTGGTTGGTGGCAAAGAATGAAGTGACCCTCAGCCGACTCCCGCCAGGAAGAAGCCCTCCTGCCCTGCCCACACATGGGGGCCCCACCTGAATGACATCCCTAGGCCCTCCCCACAGCAGCGCGTGTGACGAGACCAGATGTGTTACCAGAGTTCAGCGCAGCACGGGTGGAACGGGCTGTGCGGTCACCAGGCTGACCAGGTGTCACTCGAGGTCACCACACCCCGCCACTGCTGTGCAGCCGGGGCTGCGGGCAGGAGTCCCAGCAGGGCCCTGGCTGAGGGGGAGGGTGACCCACTCATGTGGTCCGAATGCTGGAGACAGCAGAGAGGCCACCCCTCAGCACGTGCCCGGGGACAAGGGAGTCTGTCTTCATTCCTGCAGGGTCCCCCCAGAAGGAAGCAGTCTCCCCGCCTCGCCAGGGAGCGGAGCCTATCATCCCTCTGCCAGGGTCAAGGGAACGTCTTCACGACCTTGGGCCCTGCAGTGGCTTCTAGGACATTTGGGGACGAGGTGGTCTCTGCCCAGGAAGTGGGGTCCCCTGATGGAAGTTCTGAACAAAACATGGGACCCGCTGAGGCCAAGACCACACCTCACACCAGAGCCACACGAACAGCCACCGGCGCAGGGACCCTGGGCGGGCGGAGAGGCTGAGCAGGACCAAGGGGTCCTAAGACACCTAGACCTGCACCCACCGGCAGGAAAACCCGCGTCTGATGAAGTCACATCTTGCCCTGTCACCTAGAGCTTGGACTCGGCCTCAGTCTGTTCATCCACGGATGGGGCAAGAGGGGCTCAGTAGACTGACCTGGGCTTGGGGCCTAGCAGCCAAGAGACATGCCTTCCTGCAGGGTGGAGGGGAGAGACAAGCTGAGAAGTCGAGGCTGCCGCCACCGAAGGTCAAGTGAACAGTGCCCTGAAAGGGAGTCCACTGCCCCTTCAGGAGCCTTGAAGCTCGAGGCTGCAGGGTGGCCAAGCCTGGGCTCCTGCTCTCGGCCACACACTGCCACGAGTCCTGAGGGCCTCAGGACACTGAGAGAGTCGTCACCGAGTCCCTTGGTGGGGTGACCACCACAGCCACTGCTCATGTGACAGGCTTGGATGAGGAACCCCATTATCCCTAGCAGGCTTGGCAGAGACCATGAAGGCACCAAGTGGTGGCAGAGGCTGCATGTCCTCCTCCACCATGGCCCAGGTGGTGGTCTGTCCCCAGGGCCCGCCTGGTGCAGCCCGGTGTGTGCACAGCCCGGGTCCATGGAAGGGACAAGATGGGATGGGTGAGCAGTGAAGCAGACGATGGCACACAGGGACACGAAGCGGGCTGCAGTGGGGGGCCAGGCGAGGGGAGGCGGCGTCCCTTACTTGCGGGGAGCTCCCGGGGGAGAAGCCTTGATTGGAGACAGGCGAGGTGGGAGACTGGTTGGCCGGGGAGCCCGCGCTAGTGCGGTACTGCTGCAGAGCCGGCGCCTGCGACGACAGACAGGTCAGACCGCGGCCTAGCTCCCCGAGCACGGGGGCCCATCTTGGCTTCCTGGGAGCGGCTGGTCCCATGAGCTCCCAGCAGGCTCCCACCACGCATGCCTTGACGGTGGGTGCCCACACAGGGAGCCAGGGCACCCCGGGCACCCGGAGCTGCGTCTGAGCCTGAGGACTCCAGTGAAGAGCGGGCTGCAAGAGCCAAGCACGGTCTCCCTCCCCGCCTTCCCAGGGCCACAGGAGGGGACTGCAGAGTCAACCTGGACTCGGGCACCTCAGAGCTGAGAGCGCCATGTGCACACACCCACACCCACATGCAACAGCCACGTGTGCACACCCACATGCACATCTACACAAATGTGTGTACATACGCATATCCAGGCGTGTGCACACACCCATTTGTGCACTCAGATACAAGTCTGCACTCACACAAGCCCCCACACACCCGCACCCATGTACTCGTAGCCAGACACACAAGTACACGCCTCTATATACACGCAGGACCACCAGTGCCCACACCCCATGGGCACATGCCCCTCTGAGCATGCGCCCCTCACACTCAGGGCGGGAGAAGCCCAGAGGGCAGGCAGAGCATGACCTCTGCTCCCAACAGTCTTCAGCAGGGGCAAGCCTGGCCCTCCCTGTTCACTGGGGCTGACAGGAGGGCTGTCCCTGGACGTGCCACAGGTCTCAGCACTGTGGGCTCACCACTGCAGGCCTCCCCAGGGACAAGCCCGCCTGGGTTATGCCATCTGAGAGACCTCTGAGGGATCTGACCACTTCCTTGAGCCAGACCCAGTGATGGCAGCGCAGGCCAGGCTAGGACCTAGATTTAGACCCCACTCTGGTCCTGATCCAACCTGGCCATGCTGTGTGCCTCCAGGCAAACTGCCAAACTTCTCTGAGCCTGTGATTCAATGAGGTCCAGTTCAATTGACCCAGGGCCCCAATACTGCTTCACCTCCATTTTCTCAGTGGCCCGTTTTAAGCAGTCTGGGGTAGGGGGTGGAATCCAGGTGGGACAGGGTATGGGTGACAGAGGAGCCAGCAAGGAGAAAACAACCACGAAGAAATGATCCCCACTGAGTCTGCACAGAGACTCAGAGGTCACCCGGGTCTGTGCCCAGTGGAAACCAGCAGATCCTGGGGGTGCTGGGTGGTCCAAGTAAGTCCTGACCCAAGAGCCCTGGAGGGGCTGTCTCTGCACCTGATGGGGACGCAGCGCTTCCAGTGACGGCCCAGCTCCCGAGCAAGGGCATGGCGCCTGCTGTGATTTCACCAGAGGAAGAGCCTGGGCCATGGGGGTCCCCACACAGGGCCGCCCGCTTCACGCAGGGCAGGTGTGTCTACTCTTTACAGAGCACGAGGTTCTAAGGCCTTCAGCCTGCAGCCGGAGCCAAGGCTTGAGCGGAAGGGTCAAATGTGTGCCAAACACGGTCCTCAGTGGAGCCGCGACCCCCATTATCAGGAAGGTGTGGGGGTCCAGAGGTTAACCCAGCCAGTCCCAGCACTCGTTAGCCTCCATCCGGCCCCGGGCAGGACGTGCCTTGCTCTGGGCTGTGGCTCCCTGCCCCAGGGGCTGTGCTGCCTGAACCACCTCAGGAGGCCCTGGCCTCAGCCTGAGCGGGCTTCCAGAATGCTGTTCCCCAGGCCACGGGAAGCGCCCTGGCACCTCCCAGGAGGCCGGCTTCCCGCAGGAGCGAGGGCAAGCAGGAGTGCTCAGTGTCAAACCCGAGGGGGGCCCCTGGAGGAGTCTGGGGCCAATGACCCTGCTCAGGCCTCAGTTTCCCCACCAGGACTTGGGGTGACAACCTCGGCTTCAGGAGTCCCAGCAGCAGCCCTCTTGGAGGGCTTGGCCTGGCCCAGGGCAGGGTCTGCTTCTATCCTGACCCTCACACACACACACCGTCGGGGGCCCCGTCCTGCCCGGCCCAATGGGGTCTCCTGCAGCCCCCAGACTCCTCCTCCACGAGCCCCCCCGCAGGCCCTGCAGGCCCGTCCCGGGCTTACCGAGGCGATGTCAATCCCCATCGATGGCTGGCCCGGGGTCTCTGGGGGGGACTGGGGGAGAGAGGACGGTACCGTGACCGCGAGCGGGGGCAGCTGTGGCCCCCGCGTCAGGCTGGCGCTTGGCATCAGAGGGCCTCCCGGGGGTAGGCCAACGGGCACCTGAGGCGGCGGCGGGGGCGGCTGCTGTTGGGACGCCGGCGGTGGAGGTGGCGGGGGCTGGGGCTGCGGCGGGGGCGGCTGTTGGGAGCCAGCCTGGGTGAAGAAGGCGTAGGGCAGCTGCTGCTCCAGAGACAGGGCGTCCATGGCCACGGCCTGGGGAGGAGAGGTCATCAGGTGGAGCCACAGGGACCTGGTCCCCGAGGCCCCACAAACTTGTTAATGACGGATGGACAAACCCCGTGGGCTCCGCCCCTGGACTGGGTGCTCCCAACAATGAGAGAGTCAGAGCCTCGGGAGGGCAGAGCCCACCCAGGGCCCTTCCTGCCGTGAAGCCTTGTCCACGCCGGGGAGACAGGGAAGGTGGGGGGTATGGAGACACTGGTACAGTCACGGGGCCAAGGCTGGCTCAGGTCCTTGTCAGAACGGGCAAGGCGCTGGGTCTGTGGCTCAGTGGTAGAGCACTCGCCTAGCCCGTGCGAGGCCCTGGGTTCGACCCTCAGCCCCACATAAAACTAAATAAATAAAATAAAGGCATTGTGTCAACTACAACTGAAAAAAAGAATTGGCAAGAGGAAAAGAAGCAGAGGGTAGTGGTGGTATTTGGAAATTCTGTGTAGAAACTCACAGCCCTGGGGCCCCTGGGGGAAGGCCCAGGGTGAGGAGGGCCAGGTCCCCATCCCATCATCCCCTGAGAGAGGATGGCTGCCCAAGAGCTATAGCACATGGGCACATGCCCGGCCCCCAATAAGCAGTGGGGTTCAAGAAAGGGGCTGGGGCTGGGGCTCAGTGGTAGAGCGCTCAGTGGTAGAGGCACTGGGTTTGATCCTCAGCACCATGTAAAAATAAATGAATAAATACATAAAGGAACTTTAAAATTTAAAAATTAAAAAGGCAGCTGGGTGCAGTGGCACACCTGTAACTCTAGCGGTTTGGAAGACTGAAGCAGGAAGATCACGAGTTGAAAGCCAGCCTTAGCAAAAGTGAGGCACTAAGCCACTCAGTGAGACCCTGTCTCTAAATAAAACACAAAATACTGCTGGGGATGGGGCTCAGTAGTCAAGTGCCTCGAGTTCAATTCCTGGTACCCCCCCCTCAAAATTTTTTTTTAAAGTGTTTCAAAAAGGAAAGGGACAGGAGGCCCAGGATCCAGACAATCCACAAAGACACACAGCTGCAGGAGCTGGCCAGGGCTGAGTGGATTCTGACCCAGAAAGACACACTGATAAGCTGACGGAGGCACGCGGTGGTCACCCGGCCCAGGCCTGGCAGCAGGAGGGGGGATTATGGTGCATTCTGTTGTAGGTGGATGGTGCCATTGTGTTAAAATCAAAAAAATTTAAAAAATAGGGACAGGTGGTAGCTCAGTGGAAGAGGGGTAGCCCAGAGTGCTCGGGGCCTGGGGTCCGTCCCTGGGACGAGCAAAACAGAAACAAAGCAAAGCAAAAGATGTTGAAACAGACAAACTCCTAGGAATCCACAAATTACCAAAAACACATCGGCAGAAACAGGAGACGTAAGGAGATTGAACCAGTCATTAAAAACTCCCAGTAAAGACAGACCAAGAGCCAAGTGGTTTCAGTGGCAAAATGCACTGAATTTTACCAAAGATTCTGAGCAGGAATTGAAATGCTTCTTAAACTCCCCCCCCCACCAAAAAAAAAAAAAAAAAAAGGAAATAATTCCTCCCTCACTCTACAAGGCAGGATTTATCATGTCAAAGAAAAGTGACTGAAAATACTAAAATCAGAAATGAAAATGGAAAGTCCCTACTGACTTTACAGGAAGAAAAAGGACCATAAGAGTATCATGAAAATTTACAACAGTAAGTTGAAAACCCGATTTGGACAGAGGGACACCAACTATGAGAAGCAGGAGAGTAGATGGAGCCCTGTGGCAAACTGAAACAGTGAATCCAAGCTTGCTGACTATTCCACTACGGAAAAGTCAACTAGACCAGGAAGAAGGGAAGCAGCTTAGTGGAGGATGCTCATGGGACCCGCAGGAGCCCCCTTCATGGCCTCTGCCCGGGTCAGGCACAGGGGACCGCTGACTCGTACATTTTCCCTGTGGTTGAAGTCCACAGGGAATCTTCTTGGATTCCATCATCCCCTGAAGGGGCAGGGGCCTCTTGGAGGGGCAGAGTTGAGCCCTCACCTTCCCCACCCACCTCACCCTCGCACCTGAGTGATGGGTGACAGTGGGGACAAGGTGGGCGACACCTGCTGGGCCTGCTGCCTCCTTGCTTCTGTGCTCAGGGACAGCGGGCTGACACCAGCAGGTCGGTGCTGCGGAGAGGAGCCAGGCGTGCTCATCCCTGGAAAGGAAGAAAGGAGGCGGGAGGACGGTGTGAGGGAGGCGAAAGCCACTCACACCCCCACGGTCACGCTGCACAGGGACAGCCAGGTGCTCAGAAGCCAGTGGGCACTTGCCAATGGCCAAAGCTGAGGAGTCCCTCCGCCCAGTGCGGCCATCTTCCTCTTGCCTTCCTAGTTCACTCCACCACTCCTCTGGCAGGCCCAATCAGCACTTCCCCACCCCTGGAGCACGACTGGTCCCCAGACAGGCATGTGACCAGGTTGATCCAATGAGAGCCTGCCTCGGGATTTTGGATGGAAACTCCAGGAAGGGCTGTCTGTTGGGGGGCACATTCCACACAAGGAAAAGATCCACCAGCTGGAGGGCTGAAGGGGACAGGCAAGGACTGAGCTCTCTCCAGCCAGAGTGGTATTTCCTGGCTTCAGACAATAAACCCCCTTTTTGTGCTGAAGTGGGCTCAGGTCGGAGCTAGCTTTAGGCAAGTCTGTGCCGTGGTTTCCTCCACAGGCTCGGCGCTCCTCCTCCAATGAGCATGTCCGCTCCCTGAGGAGCTCCTCATGGCTCCACAGTGCCCCAATCCACGCCATCCTCCTGCACCAGAGTGCCCCCCACCAGGCTGCCCAACTCAGACCTGATTCCTTCACGTTCTCCCCGTCCCTGCAGGGGCTCCTGTCAGGAGCCCGCACCTTGCCCCTTCCTTTACCCCAGCCTCTGAGGCCCTCACCCTGAGCAATGTGATCCCTGGATACCACTGTGGTGAAAGAGCAGGTAAGATCGAGGACAAGGTGGCAGCGGTTTGGGCTGCTGGGCTCTCCTGGGCACATGCCAAGCACACAGCAGGCCTCATGAGAGGAACCCTGGGGCCCAGCCTGACCCACACCCACCCTGACACTCAGGTTCCCTGTCAGTGAGATGAGGATGATAACAGCTGCACTCAGGGTCACCGTGAAGCCCCAGTGAGGTCACAAGCAGGCTTGGGAGAGTCTGGCCTGCAGCCAAGGCCGGCTGAAACTGCCTGACTCACCCAGGAAGATCCGGGACCCATCCGCCCAGGGCACCAAGGCAACTGTGTTCTGGCAGATGGGGCGGCGGGTTTACGGGTCTGTGGGAACACACCCAGCACATGCCAGGAGACGACAGGCAGTCTTCCCCATGCCCGGGGCAGCTGCTCGCTGGGGCAAGCTGGGTCATGCCTGGACTTCCCCTGGACGCCCTGCTGGCTCTGCTCAGCTCACATGGGAGGGGGCAGGGCTGGCGTCTGCACAGACCCTGGGCATCAGGACCAATGAAGTCAAGGGGACATCAATGAAAGCCCAAGCAGAAGTCTGGGAGGCACCTGTTCAGAGCAAACTAGGAGTCAGGACCGCAGGCCGCCCCGTTGGGTCTGGGCACCAATTATCTTGTATGTTTGGTGGGGCCAAGGAACATTTGGTGCTCAGGTCAGGAGCAGATGTCAGGGCTCAGTAAGGGGCGCAGCCTGTGCTAAGCGCTTGCAGGAGGTGGACGTGGGGCCCGTGGCTCATCATCAGCACAGAACACTGACCTGCTGTCACCTGCCTGCTCTCTCCAAGAGAAGCTGGAAACCAACACTTCCACACCAACTGCCTGATATTTTAAATGTGGATTTGAAGTCACACACACGCACACACACACAATCACGTACCACACAAAATACACCACCAGATGGTTTGCCCTTCGGCTGCCCACCTCCAACATCTGTCCTGAATACAAGAGTCTTTAACTCCCTGTGGGCTGTCAGGAGAGTGCCCAGCCTCACACAGGGTGGCCACCACCCCAGAGGGGCCAGTCGGGCCAGCAGGGCAGACACAGCATCTTGCTATTGTATGCCTTTCAGCAACCTGGCTCACCTCTGGAGCGGGAACACAGCCAGCTGGAGGGGAACTCTGGGGCGGGCGGGCAGGGAGAGCTGCCAGGAGGGCGGGCCGGGTGGGCCAGGTGGCAGGAGCCCGTCCTGTGGCACGCAAGCCCTGCTGGCAGGCACGGCCGGCCTCGGAGCTGTGCCAGGAAGGGCCCCCAGGGCCTGCCCCCCTCCCAAGACCTGGCAAGCAGCCAGGACAAAGCTTTTGCAAATGTGAGACGCCGGGGCTGCCCCCCGCGCCTCTTCTTCCCCGTGGGGCTGGCGGTGGGGCCAGGAGCGGGTAAACACGCATGTGCGCTGGTGGCCAGCAGCTCAGCTTTATTTAAAAAGCACCCAGAAAGCAGAGTCCCTGCTCGGGAGCTGCTGGAGCGGCAGCTCCACAAACATCGGCACTGGTGTCGGGCATTCCTGGGCCGGTGCTCGGGGCCCACACCCTGGCCGCCTGGCACCTCCACGTGGGCTCTTTCCTGTGCTTATTTAGACTGGGCGCGGGATGGAGGTGCAGGCTCTGGGGGCCTGCCAAGGACCCACAGGCAGCGGAGGGGGAGCTCTGGCGTGGGGAGAATGGGTGTGGAAGCTGGTGGCTTCTGCACTGGGGGGGGGGCACTGGCAGCCCCAGAGCTGACCTTTGGATTTTACTTTGCACAGGCCATGTGCGGGCAGGCGCCACCCGTCTGGCCAGGTCTCTGGGGAATGGAGGGAGCTCAGTAGCAGGAAGCCTGCCTAGCACAGGAGAGACCTTGGTTTGATGCCCAGCAGCGCGCGCACACACACACACACCCCCCCAGCATCATCTTGACTGCCCCCTGCCCTGCTGGCACCTGCAACAGGAGCAAGCTGGGGCTTCCTGCTCGCTGCCCCACCTCGGGTGACCTGGCTCCCAGGCTGGTGTCACCCTGACATCTACCTGCAAAGCATCCAACGAGATTCCCTCTCTCCAGACCCTGAACACCCTCCTGAGAGCCCCTTCTCCCAGGGCAGCCAGGGGGACTCTGCCAAGTATGCATCTTAGCGTGTGATGCTCTCATGGAAAAGCCTGCGTGGAGCTGCCGCTGAACCTGTAGAAGAGGCAGGATGGGCTCACGGGTGGGGAGAGTGCTGGCTTGTTCTACGGCTCTGGGTCGGAACAGGGCCTGTGTCATCCACACCCACTATGTGCCCCCCAGAAGCCCTCCTGCCTGTCCTACCACCTGGGGCATCTCTTCTCTGGAAGTCAGATGCCTGCCCCTGATGCAAATGCACACCCCAAACAGCAAACAAAGGGTATAGGTGTCATGGCAGGGACCTGGGAGATTGAGGCCCAGCGCAAGGGACAGCTGAAGAACATGTGGCAATGCTAACAGCAAATACAGTAACACAGCACAGCATGAGAGGTCAGGGGACAGTCAGGGGACAGGTAGGACGAGGCAGGTAGGGCGGGAGCAGCACAGGATCAGGGCGCAAAGGCCCTGAGTGAGTTCATCCAGCTGTGGGGCAAGCAGGGAGACGAGAAGGAGGGTGGAGGGTGACCTGGGCTCCAGAGGTTGTACGGGGAGGGAGGTGAGGCCAACAGAGGCAGGTTATGGGCTGGTCATGTTCTAGGTCAGAGAAGAGGCTGGGCAGGGCCGAGGCAAGTGAGCAGGAGGAAGGGTGAAGCTGGGTCAGGTCCTGATGGGAGAGTTGCCGGGTCTAGATTAAAAAAGGAAGGGTGTGCGTGTGCGTGTGTGTGTGTGTGTGAGAGAGAGAGAGAGAGAGAGAGAGAGAGAGAGAGAGAACACAGGAGATAAAGGGGATAACTCCACAGTCCTCAGGGAGCCACCAGTGGACAATCCCCAGAAAGAACAGGGACAGAGCAAAGCTGGGAGCTCCTGGGACAGGCAAAGAGCCCGTGGGACGAGCCCTGACCAGGCCAGGGGAGGAACAGGTGTAAAGAACAGGGAGGGGCCAGAATAAAGTGTCACAAAGCAAGCCGTCCGACGTGATGAGAAGGAGCAGGTCAGGCCCTTTCTGTCCCCAGTGAGGGGATGGGGCAAGGAGGGACGGTGGACAGCATGACCTACTGCTGGGGCTCTGCTCCTAGGCTCCCCAGCCTCTCTGAAGCCACTTGGTACCCTCAAAGCTGCAACTGGACCCCTGAGGCAGCATGCACCCCTCACACCCCACCTTCTCTGCCCAGGCTGGGCCTAGGAGGGGGGCCTTCCCTGTGGGTCAGCCTGGCAATGCTGAGCCCCTGCGGCAGGTCTGTCACCCCTCATCTCCACCCTCCAGGTGCCTGGCACTGTGGACACGACTGATAAGCCACCATCCGAACGGACATGCCACCTTCAGGAGACAGTCCTCTACCAAGGAGCAAAGCCCGGGCACCTGGAGCTTGGGGCCATGCTGCGGGCCCTTACCCTGGCCGGCGCCGCCGATGCCCAGGTGCGTCAGGTTGGCGGCGAGGTTGCCAGTGCTGCTGGAGCTGCTCAGCGCGGGGAAGGTGGGCTCCTCGGGGTCCAGAGGGGTCGGGAGGGGGGAGGGGAAGTGGATGTTGGTCAGGTCAGGTAGGGAGCCCCCCGTGTTGTGGGTGGCGGGGATCAGGGCTGTAGTGTTTTCCTGGTCGGCGGATGGGAAGATGCTGGGGGAAGGCCAGACAGGGGCAGAGGTGAGGTCTGGGGACAGCGGCCAGCCGACCGGCCGGGTCGCCCCCAGAAACTGCGGCAGGGGCAGGAGGGGGCCATCAGGAGAATAGGAGCAGGTGTAAAATGACGCTCCTCAGTCAGGTGCTGCCATGCTCATAAGATGGCTATCGGGGCATCACCAGCGACTTCAGGAAGCAGCCTGCCCCAGGGAGGGGAAGGGGAGGGTGGGACAACACTTTCTGTTGCCCAGGGAGGGCTGTCCTCTCCAGGGACAGGGTATGTCTGAGGAGGCTCTGACTCGGGCAGCAAGGGGCTGGAACCGGCCCAAGACAGGACTTGCTGGGTGGCCACCGTGGTGTCCCTCAGCAGGACGTGCAGGCTCATGGCGGGTGGGAGCCTGGGGGAGCCCATGCAGTCCCCAGGCTGAGGGTGTGTGGGCAGGGCCTGCGGGGACTTACTTGATTCCGGGGACCTCACAGGACTTGGGCCTGGACCCCGTCTGAAAGAGAAGACAGCAGAGGCTGAGCCAGCACCCGGGGCCTCCTCAGGTACACCGTGCCCGAGCACCAAGCTTATCGGCTAGGGACCGCGGCGGGGAGGAGAAATCCCACCTTGGCTCAGGCGCTTCATATGGCACAGCCCACAGTGGCCTCTGAGTGTCCCACAGAGGGCACAAGTGGCCCCACCAGGTAGAGGGGCCGAGCCCAGAGTCAAGAGTCATGTGGGGAGGCTCTTCCCGCAGGCCCCACCCCAGCTCCTGCCCTTGGCAGGGAGAGGGCACAGTTCCACTCTGGCTGCTTGGTTGGTGGGGGCCACAGACAAAGGGTGACGTGGTGCCTTGTCAGAGCAGGCATCTGGGCAGAACCTGTGTGCCAGCTCCTCATGTCCCCAGGGTTTTCCATGGCAGTACGCTGACAGGTGTGCAGAGGGGCTGCTGGGACCCGGGTGCCCGGGGCTGAGTGCTCTTGCTTGGTGGCCATGGGGCGACTCCATGAGAAGCCACCAAAGCAGTGGAGGGCACCAGGTCAGGAAGACTGAGGTGGGCTGGGCCAGATGCCTCAAGTCGGTCCAGAGGCTCCCACGAGGGGGCCTCTCCTTCCAGGAGGACCTGCCCTCCTGCGACACTCAGAGGTGTGGCCCCCATCTGGTCCCGAAGCACTTCTCTGCCATGTGGGCGTTCATGAGTCCATGGGCCAGGGCTGGGGAAGCCTCTGGGGCAGCGCCACTTCCAGTGCTCGGCTAGGGACACTTCCAGAACACGCGGACCACCGCGGGGAGGAGAAATCCCACCTTGGCTCGGGCACTTCATTTGGCACGGCCCACAGTGGCCTCTGAATTCAGGGCCACAGCCCTGCTCTGCTGCCCGAGGCTCTGGACTTTCAGCAATGGAAAAGTAAACTGCGACCCCAGTGCCAGGCCTGCTGTGCTGCAGGGGCCTCCCTGGCTGGGCAGGACAGCCCTGGGCGCCCCTCCCCGGCTCCCCTGTGGGCTGGCCCCAGGGAGGGGTGCCAGGGAAGCGTTTGGGCAGCAGGACTCGGTTTGCTCCTCTGTGAGTGGAGGACATGAAGGCCAGGGAGACGGGATCCTGCGGGGCCTGGGGACTGTGGCTATGCGCAGGGCCCCCAGGACTGTGCTTCTGACCTCACGGGCGTGACAAGGACAGTCCCATTTCCTGAGAGGAGCCTCCAAGCGAGTCACGTTTTCTAATTTCTAGTCTGCCACCAGGGCCTGGGACGACACTGCTGGCCGAGCTTTCAGGAACCACCGGGGGGGAAGGCGCACCCGCTGGTGGAGGGAGGCTCTGCCTGGCAGCCGCACCTCGGCTACAGTGGTGGCAGGGAGCCAGCAGGCGCCAGGCCTCCACAGCAAATGCCCAGGGACGGGTTTCTACGGGGCCAGGGGCTCCGCGTACTGGAGTGGACAGTCCCTCCAGAACCCGCGTCTGCACCACCCGCGGGCGCCAGCTTTCTGAGGGATACTTTGAAAAGCCTTCCACGAACTTTACGGGAGACATTAACGGGTTTCTGAAGTACTCAAGAGCCACTCCTCATTCTCTGCCATCCCTAGGGTCCCTCCAAGGCACTAGCCTGTTTTGCTCTCTGTAATGGAAAGGTGACATCCAGCTGCGCCAACGGACCAGGACCTACTTTTCGGCTTTACCAGACATTTAGTGGTTGTGCAGTTTCACTCGGGTTAGATTGTTTTGCTTTTTCTCTTCCTGATTTGTGTGGTGCTGAGGGCGACTGCTGCACCCTGAGCCCCCCCCCCCAACACCCCTATCCTGACCTTGCGAGGCAACCGCATTACCACGAGTGTCTCTATTTCCTCAGAATTCCTTTAAAACTCCAACTCGGAGTGACTGAGGGTCATCTCATAACAAACCCCCGCTAACATTCGGGTGGTTTCTGCTTATTCCGGAAGCTCTGCATAAGCACTTCTAAACGCACCCCCTCGCTGCAACTGCATTCCCAAGGGGAGGAGTTCTTATGTCAACACCCCTGAAAAGCCTCCTGGGACTGTTAATAGTAAGATTGGGACAGGGACAGGAGGCGGCTGCTCCATTTCTTTCTTGGAGGGGAAAAGCGGTTTTTCTCCTTTTGGAGACAGGGTCTCCCTTCAGTTGCCCAGTCTCACACTCACTGTCCTCCTGCCCCACACCCAGGTGGCCGTGGCCAGGCTGGCATGGGCCGTCTGTGACGCTCTACTTTCTGCTGAAACCTGACCAGCCACGGGTTTTAACGGGAGGCTTCTGCCGTGTGACGGTCCTGCCCCCGGAACCCCGGCACAGGCAAATCTGTGCGGGGGCAGGTCTGGGAGGGCGACCCTCCACGCGTCACTCCGTTATCTCGTCCCGGCCTGGCCCGAAGGAGCAAGGAACAGGCCCCCGGAGCCCCGGGCTCTTACCTTCTTGGTGTCCCACGCTTGCTTGGGAAGGTTTTTATCTGCTTCGGTCGTGGTCTCCTCCATTCCTGGGACTGTTAACAGTAAGACTGGGACAGGGGAGGAGGACACTCAGAAAGAGGACAACCTCCCCGACGGCCAGGGCCGGGTGAAGCTGGAACTTTCCTCATGGTCATTTCTGGGTCTCATTTTTTAAAAGATCAGATAAGCCCAAGACTCTGTATCTTACAAAGAAATGAAAACCAAAGCCCTGGAACCCGC